ATTCACTTCAGAATCTGTGAACTTGTTCTATATCTTTTTAAAAAGTTAATGATTAAACGTGAACTACCTTTGTTAAAATTAACCTCAACTGTTTTTACACTTAATGATTGATCTCTTGAAATGGAAAAAATCAATACAGTCAAGCAAGACATGCTTGTCTGATTCTTTCCGCACTCAGCAATATTCAAGCTTTATGAGGGCGGTCTGTAAATAATCTAGTCTGGACCAGACAATACAGTGACTGACATCATGAGCATCGATCCACGCAATTGGGATACGATGACATACATCAACCAAGAGCCTGACCACCCGATGATCCCGTTAGTCGCCTGTTACGACAAGCATTGTCGCCATTCTACCCCGGATCTTCACGGGTCGTGTTGAAATTAGAGCACTCTACCATCAACAGGGTATTCATCTAATGGCAAATGTAGGAGCCCGAATTTATCTTGACTGCGTCTGTTTGTTCACTGAATATTCGTTTCGTCTTTATTGTGTGTAACTGAATTCTTCATTTCATTAAAATAAAGAAACATTTTACTACCGCTTCACAATTAATTGCATTACCGACCTTGACCCACGACGTGGGAACGGAAGCGTGCTTATGAATGAACTTCGACAGAAGTTGAAATTGTGATATGTAAACGTGAACAAATCATGTATGTCATAAGTTTTTGCAGTAACAATCAGCTGGCTTTCGGCTAGATGTTGACCTTGCATCTGATCCCGTCTAATAATGGACCCGTGAAGATTCCGGGGTAGAATAGGTCTTCAGCAACCCATGCTTGCCGTAAAAGTCGACTATGCTTGTCGTAAAAGGCGACTAACGGGATCGGGTGGTCAGGCTCGCTGACTTGGTTGATACATGTCATCGATCCCAATTGCGTGGATCGATGCTCATGATATCAATCACTGGATTGTCTGGTCCAGACTCGATTATTTACAGACCGCCGTCATATAGCTGGAATATTGCTGAGTGCGGCGTTAAAAAACAAACAAACAAACAAACAACGTAACCAGAATTCATGAAACTTCAACTATTACTGCGTCCAAATGCCCAAATCTACTTGACTACTGAGGGGTGATTACAAAGGCGTCAAGTTTTTTTTTCATATTGAAATTACGAAGGCTGTTTCATTTTGGACCTGAGTATCTCAGGTATCACATATTTCCAGTATGGTTTGAATCTGAGTAGTAAAGGAAATCACATACATGTATATGATTAGTATAAGTAAGGGATGCTCATGTTACAAGCTATTAGGGATTAAAAACGGAACTATGTAGTTCTGGGTAAAGGCCTATGGATTGTCATAAAACTATTTTCTCCCAATTATTTTCAGTTGACTGTCTGATAAAGGCCCCATTATATAAAGGTCGCCGTCGTATGGCAGGAGTGCTGCTAAGGGCAACAAGCGCTGACTTTTTGATGAAGGTTGTGTGAGTTGCGGGTAGTACCGGTGGAGCAGGCTATGCTTACTCTTTTCGCGTAGACGTGGTGTCGTCACTGATTTTCAGTGATCCATATATATCATTTTCACTGACAATTTGTCTTTTACGCCAAATGGTATCTGTTTCGGCAAATAATTAAGACTGGTTAGTCTCTGGCGTTGACGTTATATATTTTGAAATGTTTTTTGAGAGTATGGCTAAAGTCATATACGTGTGAATGCATGGATTCTTGGTTGTCAGGCAAATATTAAGCAGCATATTATTCCGTACAAAGAAAGACATTCAACATGGATGGAAGTGGGTGTGAACAAGTCAAGTAATCCCCTTGTATCACAGTAACAGACGCCACTGTGCATGTGGTCTCTCTCAGACTGAATGTAAAATCATTTAATGTATACACACGCACAATTATAGTGACCACTTACTCATCAAACAGAGACGTCCGCTCCAATCGCTCCTCCAGACCACGTCAATTGACACCACTAATATCTAACCTTGTCGGTTCAGTCTGTATTTAGGGTCCCTTGCCATGTTTTAACTAAGCCATAAAGTCGCAGAAGTCGTGGACGTGGTTGTTCATGAATATGCACCGGCACCATTTCCATAACCATAATACATAGAAAACGTCCACGCCAGAGTGTAACCAGTCTCGATTATCCGACGATTATCCGACGAAACAGATACCAGTGAGCGTAATTTATAATTATAATTTATAATTATTTATAATTGGATCTGTGAAAATCATATATTGTTTAGTTGGTCGAATCACTTGCACCTGCGACAGACCCGACCAGCCCCTTGAACCGAGGACAATGATATGATCACCGTATTCATTTGTGTACATTTGGACATGAGTGCTACAATGTCCAAAGGTATGTGTGAACATCCGTGCTACAATAGGTCTTCAGCAACTCCTGCTTGTGGTAGGAGCAGACTTACGGGTTTGGGGGGGGGGGGGGGGGGGGGGGGTCAGGTTCGCTTACGATGCATGCGTCGGTCATCGTTTCCCACTTGCGCGTAAATCGATGCTCATGATGTCAATTACTGGATTGTCTGGTCCAGACTCGATTATTTAAAGACCGCCGTCATATAGCTGTAATATTGGAGTGCGGAGTTAAACAACAAACAAACAAAAAACAAACTTCATCACCATTTCCCGAAGATGTTGGCAAACCATGTACTTCCAGTACGAAGCCAAGGTGAGCTACCAACTGAGATGTTTCAGGGATCGTAACAAAAACAGACATTGAGAACAAATCTGTTGTAGCTTTCCAAGGTTGTTTATGAGTCTTGTTTTTGCGCTATTTGCACTCTCTCAGACATCATTTGTCTCCCAAGATTAATGGATACTTAGAAACTAGGTCTTCTGGTGCTTAGTTGGTCATATTCATCATCAATCCTGTCGACAAAAGATGAACTGGAAAATGATTGAAAAGCAGTATTAAGTTCTGTATCCTACTAAAGAGGAATCTTATCAACCATCAAATGAATCTAATTACTATATCTTCGGGATCCCACCGTCCACCTTGACGAAGTCCCTAATCCAGAGCTGTTTAGTGAAAGGTAAACTACCAAAAGTAGAACTTTTGATGCGTTGCCTCCATACGGCGGCAAACTCTTTGGTCATCAGATTAATATTACAATAAAATAATTCCCCTCAAATATTTAACATGTTGTCAACTCCCTCTGCGAAGGTCGAAAGGCTAAAATGGCTGGATGAGACAGAAATGAGAATTTATCTTGTGATGAATTAGGAAAGAAAATGGCAAAGGAATATATGTAATATCTTTAAGAATATTACATTACTAGTATTAATTCAGATTGAAATTGAAATTGAAATTACAATGAGAAAAAATAGTTGTTCATAGTGTTATATCAACACAGACACATTGAAAAGAAGCAAAAACAAATCTTTCAAATGCAATATTCGTTTATTTGTTCAAATTTTATGTTTCACTATTGTTTCTGCCTCGTATGCGGTTACCTCCCGTACTGACTTACAAACAGACCGCGGCGGCATGTCCACCGTGGAATTAAACATCAATAACTAGATAAAAGCTCTGCAGAAGTAAATATGATAATAAATAATTTAATATCGTATTTATCTTAATTTGATTAATATTTATTTCTGGTACAGCATCAGGTTGTGAGCCATAAAATTAGACTTTATGGTATTCACGTTAGTTGTTGGTTGGTTTGTTGTTTTACGCCACACTCAGCAGTATTCAAGCTATATGACGGTTGGGTAGCTTAGTGCTCAAAGCACTTCGGGTCGATTCTCCACATGGGTACAATGTGTGAGGCCTATATTTTTGGTCGTCTCTGCGATATTGATGAGCCTGCACAATCACAATACGGCAGCACGAATCCACTTGTCCAATTGTCGAAAACAAGCCCGAAAGGCCTCATAACCTTCGCACAAACAAAACGTGCTCAGACAGGAGAGGCGCCGCTTCTAGATGATACCTGCGGTCTGTAAATGATCAGGATCAGACAAACCAGTGATTGATAGCATGATCAACGTAGGGTTATGACCGTCGGGGTATGGCGACATGTCACTCAGCCTGACCACCGATCCATTATTCGCCTCTTACGACCCGCATAGGTTGCTGGAGACCAATTCTAGACGGAATCCTCATAGGGTGTTAGTCACTGAAACGGTGAGGTGAGGTGAAATTGGGTTTAACGTCGCGTCCAAGATTATTGCACTTATATAGCGACGTGCATGCACGTGTATGTGTGTGTGTGGCTGCTTGTACTAGTCCGGACTGATGCCGATTTATAGTGCTAGCTCACTGAGATACCATGCCGCAGTTTAACATGAATACCTCACTCAGACACAGTATACTGACTCCGAGCCGACCAGTCCTTGTTTTAGCCCCTTAATGCCGAGCGCCAGACAGGGTAACAACAAGTACAATCTTTTAACGTCTTTTTGTATGACGCGGCCCGGGATCGAACCCTGGACCTTCCGCTCTCCGGGCGGACGCTCTACCACAAGACCACGGAGGCGGTCGTCACTGAAACGACTTCAGTACCTGGTTTATAATGCTTGCCATGAAAGGCGACTGTGCTTGTCGTAAGAGGCGACTAACTGGATCGGGTGGTCAGGCTCGCTGACTTGGTTGATGCATGTCATGGTATTCCAGTTGCGTGGATCGATGCTCATGATGTCAATCACTGTATTGTCTGGCCCAGACTCGATTATTTACAGACCACCGTCATATAGCTGTAATATTGCTGAGTGCGGCGTTAAACAACAAACCGACTTTAAACTTTGAAGGGATACGGGTGGCCAAGTCGTCTAAGGCGCCGCAATTCGCTGCTTAGAGTTGGGCATACCAGATACATATGACTGTCGGTTCGAATCGCCCTTCGCCCTGATCATTTTTCTAGGTTTGTCACCTTATGATTTATACAATAAGATCTGAAACTTCGGGCTTTCCTCCCACATTAAGCTGACACGCCCTGGTATAACTAAAATACTGTTCAAAAAGGCTTTAAACCCAACTCACTCACTCACTCACTATAGCACATTAGACAAACAAAAGTGAACTTCACTGTCGTTTATTGACATCAAAGCTACACGCACTACGGTCATGAGAAATAGTGTTCAGGCAAACATGCATATGAATAAGCAGAAAGTGTACAATGTACATGTATGTTCTATATCTGAGAAAAAGGTTAATGTTCTGGTACCAGGTTCATTACTGCGTTTCCAACTGTGGAACCCTTGTGGATAATGCGTTTGCTCTTCACTTCGGGATCAACACTCCGCACCCACTCAGTCCTTGGTCAGCAAGATGGAACCACTAGATGTTCCAGAACTAAAAGTGAAATACAAAACTTCATTTGGATTATGTCAAAGTTCGGGAATGTTAGACAAACATTTTTGACTAATTTGTATCAATGATAAGACGTGCCTTGTTTGATTCTTTTCAATAAGCAAATGATCGCGTGATAGATAATTAAGAGCTAACCACTGCCCGTATAATCAAAATTACGATTCTATACTTAAATTTTCCTTGGGTTTATTGAAATTCCTGCATTCTGTTATAAGGTTAAAAATGCAGCTCAAAAACATTAGAAAATGGTAACAAATAAAACCGTTATAGCTGCAATGAGGAGTTGCATTAGATACAGTTTGTGACAGAACTTCGAAAGGAATCAATAGATAAAAGACAGTTCACATTTATCACAAGGTATTCTGGACATTTCATAATTATCATTGGATACGTTCCTGGTTATCGTCCATTAGTTACTGAAACAAATAGAGAGTTTCAAGGCATATTTCATTTGGAGCTTCCGGATGCGAGTCACAAAATCAATAGAGAGATGAGCAATCAATCTGGCACGTAGGCTTCTGCATTTTTCCGATTACGACACACATGAGTTCATGGTCAGATCTAACATTTAACGAATCAAAATGAGGTATTGTGACATTTGACAAAGACAGGCCGGGCCCGAACCCTTTAAAATGATACCTTCAACATTAGGATAGGAGAGCGCGGTTTACAATCGATCGAGTCGAATCCCGATCGTTCTAAGTTTTCCCCAGTTAGTGACGAGTCTGGCCGGTCTGATCCTGTCGTGTATTGATAGCTTGGCTGAGAGTAAGTAAAACTATGTGAGTATAAAGCTGGTGTTGCGTTTCTATATCATGCGAGTATGAATGTTGATAGAGACAACTTGGAGTAAGCGTCGTTAGACCAATACACCTTGACGGAGCCGAGCCGTTGCGGACAAGGCGAGGGGCAAAGTCATGGCGTAATTGACCATGATGACCAGGAACAGCAATACATTTAGTAACTGTAGTAGGGTCGCACTTGACGCCCGAAAGCAGTTGCGACAATTCTGATTAGTTGACTTTGGTCACGTGTTATTGCATTCATTTCCCATGAATGAAAAAAATTAAGCCACGCCCACCGAAGCAGACTACTGAATGTCGGGGAATCCAATAGGACAGTCGAGGGAATTCACACTCTGCTCACGTGTATCGTCATGCACAGGACATTTAGCGAAATTCATGCATAATCATCGTCCATACAACCCTTTGGGACCGAAGGCCGAGAAAGAATGAAACAGCAAAAGTGCAGGCTCGCTCGACTGTTTTTCCCCCGCTCGCCTCGGTTCCACAACTGTCATGTCTTCGGATTTCATTAAATATTCTAACTAGCATTTTTCCAACTGTGTCTTCCCGTTCTCAGGGAACAAATTTCGAATCTGTGGGCTTACTGACCATGTCATTTGAAACAGCCGCCTTCTCCCGGACATATTTCTTCCGGTTCGTTACAGTCTGACTGCTGCAGACAGTATGTATTCCTACACCTGGAATGTTTATCAATCTCGTCATTTTTGACTGCTTTGATATAAACAACTGTTTTTGGTTAAACTATTGTATGTTTTCGTTGCCGAATGTCATCATAAGTTTTGACTGTGTACTTATTTCGGTTCATTGAGGTATGAATCGAGAAAATGATGTGCAAACTTTTGTAAGAATCAGCATACGGTTTGCACATCGGTTTTCGATTCATACCTCAATGAACCGAAAAAAATACACAGTCAGTACTTAAGTAAAATAAGTATCTGCTGAACCATTAATTTGTGGTAGTAGGCACAAGGAAGGGAAAAGCTGAGCTAGAAACCTTGTAACCTGATGCTACTGACCATATTTAACCCCCAGGCTTAGGCCATGGACTTTGGACCAGCTCTCGGTGATGCCGTAAGCTCCGCACCCACCGAAGTGTAGCTCCCCGTCGAAGAAGTAGTCGTCTGGAAGCAAACCTTGAGCGGAATGTATCATCCGGGCACCTGAGGTCCACTCTGACGTCACCTGATGGGTCTCCCATCCACGCTTTTGAGGCTGGTAGTTACTCGGGTTAGCATAGAACGTGAACTGAGAGTTTGGACCTTCGTCACAGTTGTGGAACGACTTGTCCATGCCATTAGCTTGATACCCATTGATGAAACTTTTGGAAATCAGGACTTGAGGAAGAAAACCAACAAATAGATAAGGTTGAAGATTCAAATTCATGGGTGCTGTGTAGACGGTGTGTTCATTTGCCGTGATACCAAGGGGTAAGAAGGAGTATCGGGACAGTTGGGCGAGTTTGGACACGGTCTGAGTCTCATTACTCCACTTTGCGACAACGTCGACTTCGGACTTTGTATTGTAGTGGTGACTTAGCTCTTCTGTTGTCAAACCGTCTGCAGCAGATTTGGAGAAGTAGGTGGTGATAACGCCGTTGCTGAAGCGGCAATACACTCTCCGGTTGCTGAACAACGTATACTCTCCGCTCTGGCTGGAAGGGTTGTGCAGGTAGATGTCGCGACAGGCTGGAAATATAGTAATGACTGTAAAAAAAGTACCATTCTAGGAATATTAGCTTCCGCGGTAATACGGCCGTCAGCTGTTTCAATCAGAGGGGTTTATGGTGATTTAATATCCTCTGATTGACCAATCAGCATCGTGTAATTTCCAAATTCATGGTAGAATTGTTAAATGATTCAGTGCGCACGCTAAAAACACGTTGTTTGATAGCGATAAGAGAAGGTTAGGCTCAGCTAATTCCAAGCAATTTGATTTACATCCCTTACATGACATTTTCTTCTGTTAGTTCAGCGTGTTCAAATTGTACGTCAAATTAGCAGACAACGATTACCATTATTACACCTAGCCATTAATTACAATGTCTAGACCAAAGGAATAAGCACAAGACCGTGTAGCACAGTCTACAGGTTTGACGCCGCTTTAAACAGTATTCCAGTTTTATAGACCTAATGTGTGAGGAAAGCCCGAAGTGATGCATGTCTCAGACGCTGGCCACTTTGATGAAACCAGATCAGCGAAGAGACACAGCGAATTGCGGCGCCTTGAACGACTGGACCACTCGTTCCACCCTCCCTTTAGTAGACACATGAGACGTCAATTAGACAGTAGAAAACGCGTATGTCCAGTCTAACATACATAATCTTATGCCAAATCCTAATTGGGGCGGTCGGGTGGCCTAGTGGTTAAGACGTTCGCTCGTCACGCCGAAGATCAAGGTTCGATTCCCGACATGGGTACAATGTGTAAAGCCAATTTATGGTGTCCCCCGCCGTGATATTGCTGGAATATTGCTAAAAGCGGCGTAAAACCAAACTCACTCACCCAAATCCTAATTAGCATCCTCAAACAAAAGGGGCGGTCGGGTAGCCTAGTGCTTAAAGCGTTCGCTTGTCACGACGAATACCCGTGTTCGATTCCCGACACGGGTACAATGTGTGAAGCACATTTCTGGTGTCCCCCGCTGGAATATTGCTAAAAGCGGCGTAAAATCAAACTCACTCACTCACTCACTCTAAGAAAATACTGTCGACAAACATACAAATACACAAGCAAATCTGCCGAGAAATGACTCCACAGCAACCTGCTGAATGAGGCTGGCGGTTCATTCACAGATATAGTTAAAATTTGTTTATTTTTGTTTGTTGAACGCCGCACTCAGCAATATTCCAGCTATATGACGACGGTCTGTAAATAATCGAGTCTAGACCAGACAATCCAGTGATTGACATCGTGAGCATCGATCCACGCAATTGGGATACGATGACACGTATCAACCAAGTCACGTTAAATTCTCGAATGAAGGTTTGCGATGAGGAAATATGACATACTGCGGACTTGAGTCTTTTCCAAGAGTCTATTGCCACAAACATTACCCTGCACAGAAAAAAAGCATTTGAATATCACAAAAATGATTAAGGAGCATATAAATAATAATTGATTGTTTCATGAGTTCATGGCAATATAGAAGCTTGGTATAATAATTACCCGTGGTGACTGGTATGCGCACGTCTGGTCCGGTTGACCACACCCTGAACAAACCACAACACCCTGTTGCTGACAGCCAAATGCGGTGGGACAAGGGTTCTGGCACTTCGTCTGCACACAGCACAGTACAAGAACTATGCAAGTGACAGCTAGTCTGGTGTACATCGTGGGGATAGTTGATCATCTGCAGAATGGCAACTAAAGCATTATATATATTATATATATTCACAAAACGTGTTGGGCCGTAGGCCTATTACACAGAACTATTTACAAAGAGAGGGAGAAAAAAGAATTACCACTATTTTACATATATATCCCTATCCATACGCATTCATACACATACACATGTATATAAACAAAAAAAATAAAAAAATATTTAGACTGTATGCAATGAACGAAGTCGAAAAGCTTTGTAAACGTAGACTGCTAGATTTCGTATGATTTTAAAGTAAGTGGATGACATAAGAGCATGAAATTTATTTTTAGAAGGGGTTGTAAAATATTTAGGAGGAATGTATTCAGCTCTTAAATCACTATAAGCATTGCATACAAGCATGAAATGATTACCCGTCAAGCCTTCTATAATGCTACCAGTTATCAACAACTTGGTCTACTTCAGTATATATTTATATATATATATATATATACTTGTTTTTGTGTTCATGCTCGCGTGGTACTACATTCCTTTTATCTCACCGCGGGTGTTTTCATTGATATACAATGACCACACAAACTAGTAGTTGATATTGTGAAAAACATCCCCTCCATCGGGGAGCCAAGTCACCGAGCCAACCGATCCAATGAGTCGCCTCTTACGACAAGTACAGGGTTTCAGGGAACCTCTTCTGACCCAGAATTTACATGGGTTCAAGAAGAGAGAAATAATAAATAAAGTTGAGGTCACAACCAATTGGTTGAATCTGTTTAGCTTATATTAAACAGGGATCACCGGTACACCCCGCTTTTGTCTGTCAGCACAATGCTCCTGCTCGTGGCTAACGTCAAAGACCCGGACCACAATCAGATGCTCACAAATCACACGGACACACTGTCAATAACGTCTTCGCTGATCTGTTTCTTTATGCACATGAATTTCTGCTTGGATTGGCAAAGGCAAAACAAGATATTTTGGCCAAGAAGTTTAACTTAGGCTTCAGGTATATCGGCGATCTGATATAGCTCAATAACCATCCATTTCCCTTTCATTTGATTTATCACCTGACCTAGAAATATAGGAGACCAGTGTAGGAGACACTTATATGACTGGGGTGAGTGAGTATGGTTTTACGCCGCTTTTAGCAAAATTCCAGCAATATCACGGCAGGGGACGCCAGAACTGGGCTTCACACATTGTACCCATGTCGGGAATCGAACCCGGGTCTTCGGCGTGACGAGCGAACGCTTTAACCACTAGGCTACCCGACCGCCTTGAATATGACTAGGTATAGATTTATGAAGAATAAGATGGAACGCATATAGTGTTATTATACGTGCAAAGAGCCTTTTCGACATAGCTTCTGGCAAGGTATGTTAGCTGAACCCAAATTAATCCCTCAACACGATAAGCACTATGCATGGATACTTTTTATAACAGCTTATTATTAAGAATGAATAATAATTCCATCAACATATACACGTTTGCGTCATTATGATTGTACAAAATGTTAGATACCCATGAAGATCCGGGTTAGAATTGATCTTCAGAAGCCCGTGTCTTTTTTAAGAGCCGACTAAGGGGATAGGTTGTCAGGCTCGCTCATTGGCACCTTATCCCAATTGCGTAGACTGACGCTCATGATCTCAGTCACTAGATTTTCTGGACCGCCTCCGTGGTCTAATGGTAGAGCGTCCGCCCGGAGAGCGGAAGGTCCGGGGTTCGATCCCCAGCCGCGCCATACCAAAAGATGTCAAAAGATGGTACTTTTTGTTACCCTGTCTGGTGCACGGCATTAAGGGGCTAAAACAAGGACTGGTCGGCTCTGAGTCAGTATACTGTGTCTGAGTGGGGTATTCATGTTAAACTGCGACATGGTATCTCAGTGGTCTAGCACTATAAATCGGCATCTGCCCGGACTAGTACAAGCAGCCAAACACACACATACACGTGCATGCACGTCGCTATATACGTAAGTGCAATATTCTTGGACGCGACGTTAAACCCCATTTCACCTCACTAGATTTTTTGGTCCAGGTTATTTAGGTGGAATATTGCTGAGTGCGATATTAAACAACAAACAATTAAAAAAAAGTGTGGGAATGTATAATGTATTTTCCTCGCACTCGCTTTAGAAACGATTTCATAACTTAAAAGAACACTCGTCTCTACACGGATGCGTCATGATCTCTTTCCGTTGAGGATGTCATGTTGCAACACCCAATGTCCGAATCCACTTTGTTCCTTAAGAGTGTTGTTGTGTCTGAATTGTGTATTTAGTATGTGAACATGTGATTGCAATGGGTGTAATGATAATAATAATAACTACAGATTTATATAGCGCTGGTATCCAGTTCGAAGAACTGCTCAAAAGCGCTTCATTTGCGTCTACACAAAAAAGAGACATTACACAGCTAGAAAAACACAAAGCCTCAATACTCCAAGAAAGATTTGGTGAAAAGATAGGTTTAGAGTCTGAGGGTGTGATGGAAAAAAGACCATGTTGATTTGGTTTGGTTTGGTTTTTAACGCAGCACTCAGCAATATTCCAGCTATATGACGGCGGTCTGTAAATAATCGAGTCTGGACCAGACAATCCAGTGATAGAAATCATGAGCATCGATCCACAAAATTGGGATATGATGACATGCATCAACCATCAAGACCTATTCTACCCCGGATCTTCACGGGTCCTTTTGAGGTGAGGACGAGACACAAAGAATCCTTAAAGACGTATTTCGCAGGTTTTATATTGTCATTAAAACAGCAATGAGATAGAATGTGAAAAACACAATAGCGATATTTGTCAAGGTATTTAGAGCTTTTAGGTATCTAGGTATTTAAATCCTAGATTCCGACTATATCATAAACGTGTTTAAGAATACCCATCAAATAATGAGAGTATCGTGCCCCACCCGTGGCAACAGTCACAAGGAGTCTAGTTTATTAGTTCAAAAAGGTACAGTACATATGTGTAGATAGAATATTTGAGGGCATCACAGAGCAGTTTGTTAATTCTGCAGAAGGTTGAGTCATGGTTGCCGTATCCCCTGCCAGTAAGGCTCAGTTGGGGACATACGGGAAAGGCGTCTCCGCAACGGAGGGTGAACTCGCCTGCTGTGTGAGGGGACGCAACTGATTGAGGGCATGCATACAGAACATCTAAAATACCCGTATGTCAGGTATATTCCCATGTCCTTGAGAGTGTTAAGTAGTTTCTGCCGACCAGACTGTCGACTCCCACGTTTGATGCAGGCGGATTCTGCAGAACTTACTGCATACTTATCTCTATTAATGAGAAAAAACAACGTAGATTTATTAGAATCTGATAGTCTTTGAAATGAAGGCCAACATAGGTCCTGTTGGTTGACTTCAAAAGATTACCTATGACCACTTACCTTTTTGGTTGAATTTTGATACAAACCTTTCGTCTACAATTGCATGTATGATGTGTATGTTCAATTTATTGGGCTCTTTCATTGAATATCCCCAGGAATCATATATGTTATTTGTTTAAAGACGTATCTGTGTCATGATTTGCAAAGGGAGTAATCTACATACATAGCATACAATCTTAAACAGATAATTTTCATCTCTTTCCCCTAACACATTTAGTGACCTAGATGCCGCCATTGACCTGATATTGGCCGTTCGAATGCTGAAATCGATGTATGTTTGACCGTTTTGTTTGTCGTGACCACTGCACATTCGACTAACAAAATGAAAGACTACCTGATTAGTATATTTGCAAGGGCGTTAACTGACTATAAAAGTCCAGTTTCCACCCTTGAAGATCCGGGGTAGAATAGGTCTCCAGCAACCCATGCCGTAAAAGGCGACTATGCTTGTCGTAAGAGGCGACTAACGGGATCGGGTGGTCAGGCTCGCTGACTTGGTTGATGCAGGTCATCGATCCCAATTGCGTGGATCGATGTTCATGATATCAATCACTGGATTGTCTGGTCCAGACTCGACTATTTACAGACCGCCGTCATATAGCTGGAATATTGCTGAGTGCGGCGTAAAACAACCAACCAACCAATAATCGATCGCAAGTGATATAAATCACTGGATTGTCTGGTCCAGACTCGATTATTTACAGAGCGCATCATCATGATCATATAGCTTGAATTTTGTTGAGTGCGGCGTTAAACAACAAACCAACCAACCTGTTTCCACCGTTGCCGAACTAGGCTGGAATTTCCAGGCTCGATCTTAGCGCCACCAGTTTGTACGAGTTATGTCCCTTCTATGTTCCTCCTGTTGACTAATCAGATGTCATCTCTCATATATCATTGGCTTTTGCTTCAAATAAAATGGCGGCGCCTAGTCAAGACGACCTACTCGATGATCAGGATCTATATTGTAATAAAACGGGTCCTACTCCCACGCGAAGAGCATCAAATAACCTGAGCAACTTAATTAAAAGCATGAAAGAATTTGCAAAATATCTGTCGACGCCAAGATGGCGGTACACATGTTTTGCAAATCATGCAGTCGACCGAAATCCGCACGTTGAAATCCATTTTGTTTACGAACCGGATTACGCGATTTTGATTGGACTATGCATAGACTCGTTAGTCCAGCCAGAATGTAACTCCATAATTGCAGCCTAGTTCGGCAAGGATGGAAACTGGACTTTTATAGTCAGTTAACTCCCTTGCCACAAATATTTGGTGTGTGTGTGTGTGGTGTTTGTTGTAGAACGTCGCACTCAACCCTACTTTAGCTATATATGATGTTGACCTGCACAGAATCGAGGCTGGACCAGACCATTCAATAATTGATATTATGAGCACGATCGAAGCCTCACAAGCCGACCTATTTAGTTTCCACGTGCACTTTTGACAAACATTGAGACCTATTCTAACATATCACAAATTAATCAATAACATTTAATAGTAGACACACGCAGTAACATGTACATTCATCAAGTTACATATAACGCGTAAATTTTCCTGGGAGGACCTATATGTGGTCTCTGACATGTCGCTTCTTCTTCGTTTTTAAACCCTGCACCTGTGTATTTGCCGTTATTCACTTGAAGCTCAGTTAA